AGTAGTGGCTTACCGTATTGTTGAGGGAACAGCCTACGAAGAAAAGTTTGTATGCGTTCAGTACAGACTTAATTGTTCAAGCATGCTCTCAGCCGATGGCTAAACCCACTGGCGTGGAGCTCACAGAGGACTGATGCACTGTGAACTTTAGTATACTGGCTGTGTATGCCTTTCCTCCGAATTGTGATAAAGGATATGAATTAGAAAAACTAAGTGAAAGGAGAGAGTGCACGGCTGCCATTCTTCACCCTCCTCCAGTTCCCCAGAGGCTTGAGGGAGGAGAGAGAAGAGAGGAGAGAGGCAGGGGGTGGGGAGGAGGAGGATAGAAGGGGTTTATATTCAAAAACCTTCTTTTAAAGATTGAAGAACATTTGCCCTAAACAATGCCTGTATCCATTGTGGCAGCATCCTTCCTCAACAGCCAAATTATGGAATCAGATTAAGTGACATTGTGGTATATATACACAGTGGAATATTACTCAGCTGCAAAGACCAGGATTCTGTCACTTGCGTGAATGGATAGAAATGGAAGACACCATGTTAAGCTAAACAAGGCAGGCTGAACCTAGATTTAAGTGTGTATATGAGTGCATGTGTGAGTGTGTGTTTGTGGGTGCATATGTGTGCAGATGTGTATGTGAGTGTGCATGTGTGCATGAGCCTGTACTTGATGGAAATAAGAAGGAGACCATGAGATAGAAGGAAGAGATCTTTAGGGAGAGAAAGAGCAATTACTAGCATGGGACCTGAACACTGAAGGGGGCCATTGCAGGGAAGGAGGCCAGAATCGGGAGTAAAGGGCCTTGAGGGATGGAGAATAATTAGAACCACTACAATGACACATATTCATGAAAGTACCATAATTAAAACCATTTCTTTGTATGCTAGCTTAAGAAATTGATTTTTAAAGGTCTCATTAATGTGTGATGTTTAGTTTAAAGCATTAGTTTTGAATCCAGCATGGTACTGATATTTGTGTTGATTTTGGACCATGGGTTGTAATTGAAATAAATTTAAATCCAACACAAACACAAGTCAGCCTTTCATTTCTCTCTTATCAATCTGTGAGCTAAGGTTTAGTATTTTTAAGTATGCAGTTTACGGAATACCTAGTTCCATTGTGTTTTGTGTTGCCACCTGCAGCCACTGGGGCACAGTACCACCCACCTGTTCTCCCCTGGAACTGAACAGTTTGGAGGAGCGGGCCATCGGTACAGGAGCTGCAGGTGACTGAATGGCAACACTGGCCAGTGGCCCAGGGAACATCTGCAGCTGGTGAATACTGCGCTGGTGATCTAGGCTCCACTCCTGGCTGGCTAACCCCCAGCTGCACCTCAGCACGGGCCACCTGAGCCTTGAGCCAGACTGACTCCAAAGTGACCTCTGAATGTTTCAGCATCCCAGTCCCTTTAGATGCAAATTTGCGCGATCCCTCTGGAGGGCGCTGTGTGGAATCTGGTTTGCTGCTTTCAACAAGCCAGGCTTGTATTTCTGGATTTGCTCATTCAGCTGCCGAGCATAATTCTTTTTCTTGGATGGTTTATTGTATTTCTTTATGAAGTGATTCCTGAATAGAGTATGCGTGTCACTTCAAAGAATATTGGTTTAGCGTTTGAATTTAGTTTACATCCCAGGCAGGGAGATGTACACTGGGGCTGCGTGTGTTCTCGGCTTCACGGCTCCCAGGAAGCTATGTCCTGACTATTGGAAAGTAACAGCTGTCCTTGAAAAAAAGGTGTCCTCTGGATCTGTGGTTATTGCTGATGGGTCATCACACACAGCTTATATGGTAACAACTTTACCTCCAATTAAAACTTTTGCTCATTTCCAGGAGAAAAAAAAAAAAAAACCCTTCCTCCACCTTCAGGGAATGCAAAATCTCGAAATCTGATGCTTTCTGGGTAATGATTGGAGGAAAAATGACAGGAGACATACATTTACATAAAACTGTAGCTGCTTAACTTGATGAAAAATAGCATCATAAAATCCCTCTGTTCCTGAATCGATGGGTGTGGTTCCTTTTTCCTGTGACATTTTGTGAGAATAAATTGGCATCAAAAATACAGAGTTCTGTAATGAACACAAATCATCCTGGCATTTACCCTCCAGGTGCCTGATCCTAAAAGCAGGGGGAAGTGGGTCAGTATTTATTTTCTCCCCTCTGTCGGTAGTACCTGAGTGTCCAGGGTGACGGTGGAGATCATCAGTTCTAGAAGTGTGGGGAAGGACTATAGTCACGGAAGAAGCTTCGAGAATCCTGCCCTGCCGTCAATGAGCCTTGCTTTACTTGAGTTACTGTCTCCAGTGATGGCCTGAGATGATACTGGGGGATCACTTTGAAAAAGCAGTTAGATCTTTGTAGCCATCCACCTTAGCCGCTTTTCTATTGCTGTGATAAAACACCATGATATTGAAGGAAGGGATCATTTGGGCTTATGTTCCTGAGGGAGAAGAGTTCATCATGGCGGGGAAGGGGGTGAGCATGGGGGGGCTGGAGTAGCAAGTTGACATCTTGAGCCACAAGCACAAAGGAGAGAGGGAGAGAGAGAGAGAGAGAGAGAGAGAGAGAGAGAGAGAGAGAGAGAGAGAGAGAGAGAAAGCTAGAAATGCTCTTAGTCTTTCAACTGTCAAAGCCTGCCATACATTCTCCAACAAGGCCACATCTCCTGAGCCTACTCAAACAGAGCCTTCCCCTGGGGACCTAGTACTCACATGTCCAAGACCATGGGGGACATGTCATTCAAACCACCACACCATGGCATCAGCCAGCATCCTCTATAAAACAGACAGTACCAGCACATCCATGAGAAGCAAACCCACGCCTTCTCCCTGAGGACTCGGTCTGCTATTTTGATATGTGAAATTAATATTCCATGGAGAACTACTAAGAACCTCAGAGGCAAACTAGGATGATCTCTATTTTCCTTCAGGTTTTGCTTTTCCTTTCTCTATTTTACTGCTTGAGATTTTCTTTTCTTTTCCAGATCTTATGAACTGATGAAATATTAAGGAAGTGACATGTCCAGACAGATGGACAGCAGCCACTGAGACTGCTCTGCTGTTTCTTGTCCCAGGACTCATTTTTCATCACAGGAGTAGAGTGTGCTACTATTACTGAAGGCTTGTGCATATTGAATGATCAGGGCTTGGCTTGTGAGTGGTTGGACTTCTGTTCCCTGTCGCTGTCAGGAGAAGTGAAAAGAGTTTTGCACAATGCTCCTTAGTGTTTAAAGAGTAGAAGCAAATCAGTTGATAGAATGAGTTGTATTTGAGTAGACAGAGAAGCTGTCCGTAAAGGACCTAAGAAGCCTTGAGAAGACGGCTTCTCCGTGTCAAACCAGAGTTCAGGAGGGCGACAGAGTCATACTGGAACCTGTGAGGCTAAGCTGGCTGGGGATGAGCTGCAGACTGGAGGTATTAGAACCTTCCCTGCTTATGTGTGATGGGTCTCCCAAGTGGCTATACTGAAACAAGTGGGCATCAGCCTGCCTGCTGTTGATCTTGAAGAGGTCTGCTCTCTTCAGGAATGATAGGCACCTTGCTGAAGGCCTCACGGCAGCCAGAGACTGGGCCCAGGCTGCTGCCCTTGCTCTGCACACCCTGCTCCTTGCTGCGAGCATCCTTCTCTTCCTTCATTCTGCCATCAGCATTGTGTCCCCAAGTAGTCTGTGCTGGGGAGCCAGACAGGGATTGAGGGGGGCTGAGCATTTACCTCCCTGGTTCCTATCATGGTTTATATCCTTTTTATATTAAATGTCCATCAAAGACTCATGGGTCATGGGTCTTTTGTCAGCCTGCGATACTTATTGTGGAGTTCTGGGGACCCTAGGAAGGAGAAAGGAGTTAGGAGAGGAAGTTAGGGGTCATTGGGGACCTGCTTTTGCTGGGAATATTGGTACTCAGCCCCTTCCTCTCTCTCTCTGCTTCCAAGACATTTTCAGATCATGAGATTTTCCTCTAACATTCTCTGTCCTCTTGATGCTCTGCCTCACCACAGCCCCAAAGCACCAGTCACCCAGCTGTGGTCCAAGATCTCTGAAACTGTGAGCAAAAGCAACTTCTGCTCCTTTTAAGTTGGCTTTCTTAGAGATTTTTGTTGTAGCAATGGGAAATTAACCCAACTCCCTCCCTGGGCGGTCTCCCCACTATGCCACTGTGGCTTTCAGTAGCTCCTCCCCATCTCTCTGGGCCTAGGGTGGGGATCTCCCACCCCCTGGTCACATCAGCCCTGGATCTACACTACGATTCTGTACCCAGCGTACTTCTGTAAATAGTTCCTTGGTAAGTAAACTTTCTTAAACTACCCAGCTTTGTGGTCATCGTCGTTTCCTATAGAGACGTGTAGTGCTGCCCTTCCTTATTAAAGGACACGTTGGGATTCACCATTAAGCACGTGGGTTTCAGTTATTGGGGACTGTAAATCATAGACATCTTTTTTCACGGGACATCGTAAGGGACAATGGGGCCAGGGGGAAATGATGAGACAGGAAAATGATGAGAGCCATAATAGATAGGATCCAACTGAATTTCTCCAGCTGCCCTTGGTTTGTGCTTCCAGCATCAATGGAATTGATTACTTCCTTTCAGGCTCGTACCTGTGCTGCTGTCGCCAAATTGAGTAGTTTTGCCTCAAGCTCTAAAGCCCATTTTCATATTCATTAATCAACATTTTAAAATTAGATTCCTATCTTGTGATTTTTTTTTCGGGGCATGTGCTTATAGAAATGACTTATTTGAATGCAATACATATGTTTTTTTTTTTTGAAACAATGCCTTTCTCAGATGATGTAGGACAGAATATAAGTTTTCCTAATCAATTTCTTTGCCAATAAGGTAAGGCTGTAAAAGTTGAGAAGCATGCATGGTGGCAGAATAGGACAGTCATTTCTCTGAGCATCATCAGAGCTCCTGGTGTATGGGGGCCTGTGACCACAAGCAGAGCACAGGACCGTGGGAGCAGGGGAGATACTCCATGGGATTTTAAATTCTTCGGACCTTACCTTTAAAGCGCTGGCTTCTGACATCCTTAGAGATGGGCTTGTCCCTGAAAAAGACCTGTAAAAGACAATGCAGCACCATCAGCTCACACAGCTCATGCCACAGCCACGTGTCCGGCTACTCTATGGCTAGAGTCCTCAGCATACATGCGTATGTCCCTGGGCCCACTGTTGGTAGAGACTGCTGTGTGCCGCCAGTAGACATTGGCTGACTATAAATACGTGGATTGCTAACAGAGGAGACTGTGGTGTCCTGGGTGCTATTTGGCGTAAAATCTCATGAGAGACTGGGAAGGACATCTGGGATCTTAATGGTGTCAGCTCTGCATCTTTATGATAGAGAAAGGAGCCAGGGAGTGCCACTCTGTCATAATGGAGACCAGTGCCCACGGCCAGGGCTGTGGAAGCCACTGGGCAGGCACCGTGGAGTGTGACCTTTAGTGACAGTTCAGGTGATTCCACCTCATCTCTGTTACATGCCAGTTGTGAGGGTATAGTGAGTCACGCAGCTTGGAGGTTTCCTCTCTGTGAAATGGAGGGAAAAAATACTGCTTCATTTGAGGATGGTGTGTGTGTGTGTGTGTGTGTGTGTGTGTGTGTGTGAGTTTGTGTGTATGAGTACGTGTGTATATGACAATGTGAGACACAGTGGCAATGCTCCCAGAATGTGAGACATCACTGTGACACATAGTAACAATAGTGTCATCACTGGAGGTATAGTGAACTATTAATGGCAACGGGATGATGAAGTGGCCATTGAGGTGCCAAGGCCTTGGAAAGCCTTTCTTCCCCGCTAGCACTGGACTTCAGTGTTTATCTTATCTAGTGCTGACTGTGCTGGGCAAGGTTCCCGAGGGGTCTGCTTCTCTTCCATGAACTCTGAGCCCGAGGCCTGGAGAAAGCCACGGCTGCGATTTGGAATAGAGTGCTAGTTGGGTTTTCCTGAGAGCCTGCGTTTCTTTATGGAGCCATTCATTTCCGATTGCGCCTTGAGGACCAGCTCCTGGAGGGCTTTTGGATGCTCTCTGCAGCCCCGGTATTCAGTCTCCCTAGAGCCAGCCACTCACCACGCTTGCCCACACCCCATTGCCAGTTTGGTTAGGGCAGCAGGCAAGGCTCTCTCCACTTTACGTGGATTCCGCGTGCTTAGGGTTTCAGAGTGGGACTTCCTCAGTGTCCCTGCTTTTTCACCTAGGCCGTCACATTCTGCTTTGAATTCATACAGAATGCTTTGTACTTTTATTTAATTTCTATAAATCTATTTCCATAAAACCATCTGCTGTTCCTCTAAATACCCTTTTAGGCCAACACGTAGCATGTTCCTATCTGATTTGTACAAGGATCACAGAGGTTCAGAAAGCCATGAGACTTCTCACTGCCCAGTTTGATAGTTGGCAATGCTGGGCTGAGAATCTTGGTAAAATGATGTGTTATTATCAAAAAGATTTGTGTTCTAATTGAGGATCTGAAGAATGCAATGATAATTGGGTAAGGCGTAAATCCTTTAGCCGGATGCCTGGCTCACAGTCTTCAGCAAGTGTAGCTTTTCTTTCCTTCCAGGCTCCTCCAAACACCCATGATCCCGTAACTCACACTGTTTAGCTGCCCCAAGTGTGCCCTACCCTGCTCACCATCTGCCATGGGTCCTTGGGGAAGGAGATCTGAGTAGCACCCTCCTCATGCCAGGTCCTCAGGGTCCCCCTTTACTCACCTCTTCCTGTCGCCTCATCCCTGCATTCCAGGATGGCTTCCCAGAGGGGGCAGGAGCCTTGGGAGGTAACAAAAGGGGGGCCTCCATCATATCCTTGAAATAGCGTGTATCTGTGGGAAAATGAAACTCGTAAGCTTGCGCCTTACAAGCTGGCTGGATTTGGCACTTTGTCGCTTGTGGCGTCACACTTTGTCACACTCATGGGGCCAGCACAGTGCAGGTACTGGGCAAGCAATTCTTTATGGGGGGTGGGGCTCAGGGAGGGGGTGGAAGACAGGCAAAATTTATTACAGTATATTACATGCTACGGCGGTGGTGACATACACCTTTAATTCCAGCACTTGGGAGGCAGAGGCAGGCGGATCTCTGTGAGCTTGAGGCCAGCCTGGTCTAAAAGAGCTAGTTCCAGGACAGCCAGAGAAACTGTGTCTCAAAAAACAAACAAACAAACAAAAGAGTAAGAGTGAACAATGACCCAAGGGACTATTGTGGAAGAAAATATTCTCTAGTGTGTCCAGTGGCCAGAGGGATTAGTGTGAAGGAAAAACAAAAACCAAAACACAACAACAACAGCAACATAAACAGACAAGGCACTTTCAAAGAGGCTAGTGATGCTGCCTGTACTTGCCCAAGGAGGATGTGAAGGCAGACCTGCACCTTTCGGTTCACAGACATCCTCCAAGGATGGCCTTGACTAGCCTCCATTTTAAAAAAATAATATTTATTTATTTATTTATTTATTTATTTATTTATTTATTTATTTATTTATTATGTATACAATATCCTGTCTGCATGTATGCCTGCAGGCCACAAGAGGGCACCAGACCCCATTACAGGTGGTTGTGAGCCACCATGTGGTTGCTGGGAATGGAACTCAGGACCTTTGGAAGAGCAGGCAATGCTCTTAACCTCTGAGCCATCTCTCCAGCCCCAAGCCTCCATTTTTTTATATCCTCCTGAGAAATGCCACTACTTCTTGAAGATTTATGCTATGCCACTTCCTTTATTTTTTCCTTTCTGTTTGTTTGTTTACTTATTGGTTTTGTTTCAGACAGGGTCTCATATCATGGCTCAGGCTGGCCTGAAACTCACTGGATAGCTCAGATTGGTCTTCAGCTGTGGCCATTCTCTTGCTTTAGCCTCCTAGGTGCAACTGCAGACATGAGCTACTGTATCTGCCCCTGGAGCCCACCACCCGGTGCCACCCCCCTTTTCCTTTGGTATGTCCGTATAGCATTTCCTGCATATTTATCTCCTGATCGGTTCTGGAATGGCTACAGCACAGGGCGGATAGCCAGCGAATGCTTTCGGGTACGGAATACACGGAGGCCATTGCTATTGTTGTTGTTGTTGTTGTTTTGAGTCAAGGTCTCATATGCTGCTCAAGTAGCCCTCGAACTTGGAATCGGCCCCCCTCAGCCTCTGAAGTGGAAGGGTGTGTGTCTCCTTACCTGTCCACGGCTTCTGGGACAATTCTCCCTAAAGAGATCTCTACAGACTCATGTCTGTGAGCCAGGCCCTCAGAAATCAGGAGTGCTTCCTCCTTCCCTTTATAGTGACAAGAGAACCCACTGACACGGCCCTATGTGGGAAAAGACCGGGGTGGGTACAAAGCCAGCCTCCCTCCATTCTGGTGCCTGGGATGTTACTACTGGGTCCATTCCTAGGCTGGCAACCTGCAGAGCGAACCGACCTTGTCTTTCTCCCCTCCCGGACCATGCAGAGGAACCTCATGTCTCACATGCCCATCTTCCTGCCTGGCCACTTCTCCCACGCTGCCACCACAGGGACAGGCCTAACACTCAAGCAGACCCTGCCTGACAACGACAGCAAGCAAAAACAGAATTTGACTCCATAGGTCACTCATAATAACCTCAGAGGCGCTCTCGGGTTAGTTCTCCTAGGAAGCCTCGATTCAGACAAAACCCTGAGTCCTGGAGTGTGCGCCTGTGATGTTGCACACAGAAGCGCCTCTTCAGACCCCCAGGGTACCTGCATATTCTGACTCCTGTATAGGTCTGGCTGGTAAAATCTTCATCGACGGCCACGCCTTTGGCAGCTGGACCTCAGGGTCTTCATAGTCATTGTCGTCGTCGTCGTCACTGTGGCGTTTCCCTTCATCCAGGACGGCAGCCAAGTTCCTTCTCTAAGTGGGTGGAACACTAGAATAAGTCCAAGGGAGGGGCCATGTGGATAAAGGGGGCGTGTCCTGCTGGCTTAGAGAGATGTGAAGATTCTGGGATTAGAATCTTACATAGAAATGTGATATTGTGATAGAGAGAATCCTAAAGGTGTCTTCCAAATTACCCTCAGCTCTTTGGTCATTCAATCAAAGACTCATCTTGCTCTGCTGGGAGGGGACAGGGCAGGTAGAAGATGCTAATGAACTGACTTGAAAACACAGAGGGTTCTGGGTCATCTGGGCGGGCCCCATGATTTCGTGAGTCCCAGGAAGTGAAAAGGGAGAGTGTCAGCTGTTACATGGGGAGGTCAAGAATCCCTACAAATGAGTACCGCTTAGAGCTAATGAAAAGTTCAGCAGGGTTTCAGGATCCACGGTTGGTCCCATTCAAAGTTCAGTTTGTTTGTATGCAATGGTAATAACAATTAGTTTTTCTATAAGTTACCGATAGCGATTTGAAAATACAAAAGGAAAGAATGACAGCAAGATATCGAGAATTAAACCCATGAGTACACCAGGCCACAGAAGTGGAGCTTACGCTTAGCTGAAGGCATGCTACTGAAGATCATGTAAAAAGACCTTCATGAATGCGAAGAGGCTCAGTCTTCGTGGATTGAGGACTTAACGGTGTTAAAATCGAATTCTTTTAAAGTTGCGGTACAGATATAATAGGATTCTTATAAAAATCTAAGCTGCATCCCTTAGTAAACTGACTGAAATTTTTATAAAAAATTGACAAGCAGATCCTCACAGTGCTATGAAACCTCCTTCCCCATCATATCTGTGTCCCAGGGGAAAGACACAAGAGAGGTCTCCAGACACCTGCAGAGGGGGACAGTTCTTAGCAACTCTTTGGCACCTTGATTTGGTTTTCAGGGCTGAGGTAAAATATTAGCAATGATTTGGATCCAAGCCACCTAGGCCATGGCCCTTTGCTAGGGTAGCCCAAGCAGGCTTACATGTGTCCTCATCTTAGGTCTTGGGTTGAAGCCTGGAAATGGCAGGCAGGAAGGGGAGCCAGTTCACAGCAGATAAATTCTGACTGAGTGGCCACAACCTTTCCCAAGTGCCTTTGGGTTGGGTCTGCAGCCAGATGCTGCTCTGTGTAAGCAGGGACCTAGCAGCCGTCATGGGGCTCTACCAAGAGTCACTTTTATTCCCTAGATCCCAGGATGCTCTGCTCTACCTACAACTGATGGTAGTCTTCCTTTGCCACTAAGGAAGAGATCTGGGTGGATGGATGGAATTACATCTGTGAATGGCGGTGATCTGAAAGGTCTAAGGACAGCCACACGATGCCAGCAACTCAAGAGGACACAGTGTTTTCATGCACATTCCCCAAGCAGTGTCTCAAGGAAATCATATCTCTATATTACAAATCTAGACTGACGTTGGTAACTCCCCAGAGCCACACAGGTTGTAGGTAGGCTGACTCCTTCCAACACCTCCACCTGACCCAGCACCTGAATTACAAATGATTTTATATCTCAAGATGAAGGGCAGAGAGTACAGGGCATTCTATAGGTGGATGACTGGGGACTCAGCACAGTGGTTATAGACAGTGTTAGTCTGGGCATGGATCCTTATTCTGCAGAGGGAATTCTGCTTCTCAGATGGGGCAGCGCTAGAAGTCCTTTGGACTCTTGATGTTTTATACTCAAGGGTTTTAAAAAAAAAGTACAAAGTTGAAGTTGTTGCTTTATGGCCTTGCTGTATTTGTGGTTTCTATAGTAGATTACTAATGTATGATTGGTAAATAGAGTCATAGATTTTAATAAGACCGAGGATATAATTATTCCCAAGGGTGCGATTTAAAATATTTATGTTGTAATTTGTCTAGTTGTTAGGGTTCAGTTTAATTTTCTTTTGGGTTAGCTGGCCAGACGCATATTCCTATGGGTGAGTAGAGCCATTAATTACAGCTATACATGTTTATCAGATGGGGTTGCAGAAGGAAGATCACTCCTGCACAAAAGCCCTGCCAGCCAAGGGTCCTACTGGTGCTCTGACTGGCCATGTCAGAGAATCCTGGGGAGGGGGAGGAGCAAGCTGGGCCAGCAGAGACTTTCTTCTCTCTGGAAAGGTAGAGAGGAGTCTCAGGGGAGCCCAGGGAGGCAACAGGACAGGAGAGACTTGCCAAGCCCATCTGGGGACGTCACTGGGCTCCCATCTGACTCAGAGCAAGGGCGCAGATCATGGTTTAGTAAACTGTGTTCTCCACAGAAAAGCTGAAGACAGGATGAGTCAACGGTTTGACCTGTCAGTGTGCTAGTTCACAACCCCAACAAGTTCTTTGTAAAGAAAGCCCAACAGGCTGTGTGTGAACTTAGGACTCAGGCCAGTTATCAAGCTGGGCTTTAACAGATCCCGTGATGCTGAAACCAGACCAGGGTGGAAGACCAGCGCCTGCTCACCCACAGGAGAGGGGACTGAACCACCAGGTAAAGAACCGCGTGGTACCATTGGAGCTGTCCCTCGGGGTCTAGGCTATCAGCACCATGAAACTGGCCTTCTTGTTGGGTCTTCAGAGAAAAACTGGGCGAAGATGGGACATTTTGGTTGGGAGAGAATTGGTGACAGTCTTGCCAGTATGTCCTAGACCTAAGCTGCAGAGGCCATATTCTGACCACAGGGAGAGCGCTTCATTTTCCTGATGGCAGGTGGAGGTGATTGGCCCGGCTCATTTGGTGGGAGACTTGAGTAAACACATAAGGATTTTTGGCATCTGTCCCATGACAGGGGCCCAGGACATTAGATAACCTCTCTCCGGTTTATGCCTTGAGTGTAGCTGAGCCAAGGGCTCTGAGCTTAGTGAAACCAGGCATGAACGTCTGAGCAGGAAGGGTGGGCAGTGTGTAGAAGGACACTGATAAGAGGCACCCATCCTGTCAGCGACTTCTAGCATTCTCCAGGGAGACCCTGCTACCCACTCAAAGGACCTAACCCATGAACTGACGTCACTTTGTCATTTTGTACTTTGGTTAGTGTGCATGGGAATAAGGGGTGGCAGGAGGGAGGATGATGGCTGCTGTCACTTGGGGTAAAGCGCATGCGCTCCAACATCTACCTCACAGACCATAGGGGTGACTACAAACAGCTTGGTTTTCTATTTACTGGGGGGGGGGGCTCGGGTTGAAATATAACCAGTCACACCTGTTTCTTACTGTCCATACATGTCTCTCTCAGGAGCCCCTCACTTCAGGTCTCATATTCTTTACGTATGAGCTACTTATGTAAAAACAAATGTGTGTGTGTGTGTGTGTGCACGTGCATGTGTGCTTGTGGGTAAAGGTCCATAGCTTTAAATAAAAATTTAAAGACATACATCAAATAACAGCAAGCCAGTTTTTCAGATATCATCTATAGCTATATAAGTAAATTATGTGAATACATAATTGAACATAAATTTTATAATATTTGATATTTGGATTATGTTATAAATTTTAACCTCTCCCTTCAGTTGTTAAGATTCTGGCCAGTGATCCCAGCAGCTTCACCTAATGCTCAAGCATCTAACAGTTGTCAAATTATCGAATGTTTAGTGTGGCTTCCACATGCTGTTATTTAAACTATGTTACAAAATATCAGCGATTGAATGCTGTTTCTTTCTTTGAAACTCTAGGAAGGACACACATAAAAAGACACAAAACAAACAAACAAACAAAAAAACTCACCAGGATATTTTTACATTATTAAGAGAACATTGTCATGAAATTATCTCCCAAAAAAGTTTGTTTCAACTTAAGATTTCACCTGGAATATTGAAAAGCATCAGTCTTGGGACACACCCACCAACAGCCTTACTATTTTCACCTCTGCTTTAGCAATGACCTTGAGGATTGGACCTCGGCTGCAATGTGATTTTCCTCACCAGGAGAGAACACCCGTGGGGAAGAATTGTTTCCTTCTTCTAAATCCATCAGGTGACAGAAAAAGGAAGCCCGAACAACAGCACTTACTTTGGAAAGACCAGAGACTGAGAACTAAGGAATAGGGCAGACTCACGTGATCTGGAAGAGGTTCGAGAACCGCCCGACACCGTCCTGCCAAAAAACACAGATCACATGTCACTGCAAACCCAGTGCCAGGTCACAGCCTCGAAAGCCTGCTTCCTTGAGCAAATCTTGTGTTCATTGCAAGTCAGTTTTGTGACACCCCCTCCCCCACAGTGTGCTTCTCATACCTCCCATTCCAGCTATTGGTTAGGCAGAACGGACGGAGCATGGGGAATGGGGTACAGAAATCAAATCCCAACTCAGGGTGGCTACGGAGGCGAGAAACTCTCTTCCCACGGCAGGTCAGCATTTTCTCTGAGAGAGACTGAAATACCTGATGTGGATGCCCACCCCTGAAATCTTAGCCCTCTGGAGGAGAAGCAGGATGATCACAAACTAAAGGCTAATCTAGGTGACAAGAAACTGTGATGTGGGAAAGGGCTGGGGATATTGAGCGCATGCCCAGAACCGGCAAGGCCCTGGGTCAGTCTATACTATTACAGTAACAACAGAAAACCGGGCTGAGGAGATGGCTTAGTTGCAGACCTGAAGACCTGATTTAGAGCCCCAGAATCAGCATAACAAGGAGATGTGTATGGTGATGACCGCTTGTAACTCCGATGTGGGGGCAGGGGGGTAGGGGGTGGGGGTGGGGCTGGAGAGGAGCGATCTCTGGGGCTTGCAGGCCAGTCAGTTAGCCTAGGTTGCTTGGTGAGTTTCAGGCCAGTGAGAGACCCTTCCTCAACAGGATGCATTCTGAGGTGTCCTCTGACTCCACGCACATGACACGAACACATGCAAACACAAGCCAAGTGTACTTCCTGCAATCCCCACGGCACGCATGAGCACACACGAGCACGCACGCAAACACAAGAATGCTCCCCAGCCTCAAACTAGAAAACAAGCATCAACAAACAAATGGACAGAAGGGAGAAGTGACGGGCGAGGACTCCACAGCCCCTGCCCTGCAGTCGGGCAGCACTGGGTGGCTAAGGAGGAGGCTCCCCGGCACCATAGCCCAGCACAGCATGCCTACAGCGCTCTGGGCACCCGCCTCCTCCAGTGCCTGCAACCTCTCTGTGGGCAGAGCTCATGTCTCTACCCGGGATCCGTCCCCAGCTCCAGGCACACCTCCCAACATCTAGAAATCAAGCCACCGAGTTTTTGTTAGACCAGTATGGTTCAGCTGAGGCTTCTCTCAGCTCCCCGATTTGGACTCGTGTATGAAAACGGCTTAGATCAGGCAGCCCACTCAGTATTCTGTTCTAAAATTTACTCCCAGATTATGCGAAACCACCCAAGAACTCCTCACAGGAGTGACGAATCGTTGGCTCCCAGTAGACTGAGAGTTCCTTAGTTATGTGCTGTTTTTGTGTCTGTGATGAAGAATGGAAGGCAGAAAAATAATTTTCTCACATCTGTCTGCATCAGTGCACGTATGAGATGTTTCCTTTAGGCTTCAGGACCAGAGACTGCCAGCTTCTTAGCGACGTGTTCACTTTGATTTCTTGGCAAGCATTGCTTCTAAGAGGGCATGTGGTTCCCTTTGCTCTTGGCTGCTAGGTTAGAACTCCTTGGGTGTGGCTATCACATCACTGTCCCCAGAGAGCACCTGGCCCCAGTGTTCCTGAGTCTCCCCAATGTGCTTCATATTCCCCTCTGTGTCTGCCTGGGTCTGACCCAGCTGGGACCCTCACACACCCTTAGCTTCTTGTATTCAGTATCCATTGACATCTGATGCCCCTGTTTCATGGAGCTTCCATCTTGGACCGTCCAAGGCCACATATATCTCATGACATCATTCGGTACTCATTTCCTGTCTCCTTCCTGACACACAAAGAGCCGCAGCAGCCACTGGCTTCTTGGTTGTGAGTCTACCTGTCTTACCTGGGGAAGATGGCCTTGTGTCCATGTCCCAGATTCTCTCCCTGTGCTCCCTTCGAGGGAGAGTTTGAACACAGAATTGTTTTTTGAACACACAATTTTAAGTATAGTTTTATGCATTCATTCATGTCCCCGTCACCCCGAACCGACAGCTCGGATTCCATGAGTAGACCCCTTGAGCCCCACCCCTTGCTTTCCTCCTTATACCATCCAGTTCCTTCTGGGTAAATACATTAGTTACTCTGTTGCTGTGATAAACACTGACCCAAGCCTACTTGGGGCAGGAAAAGTTTTAGTTCATTGTAAAATGGAGATGTAAAGCTTCTCTTCCCTGGTAAAGGGAACTCAAGGTCAGAACCAGAAGGCTGGATTTGGAGCAGAGGCCAGGGAGGAATGCTGACTTGCTGGCTTGCTGCCAGCCTCGTGCCGAGCTACCTTTCTTACACCTCCAGGCAGGACTAGCTGCCGAGGGGGCGGCACTGCCCACAGTGGGCTGGCTTCTCACCAATCATTAACCAAGATAATGCACTACAGACTTGCCTACAGGCCAATCTGATGGAGGCATTTCCTCATCGTGGTTCCTTTTTCCCTGATGATTCTAGTTTATGTCAAGCTGACAAGAAACAAACCAGAACACTAAAATTCTCTCCCGACTGAAAGCCCAGGTTAGCTCCTCACAACTCTGCCTCAGTTTAACCCTGCATTCTTGGCTTCCCTGCTTGTCTCTTCATGGTCTAATTTGAGCAAGAACCCTACCAAGTCTGTTTAGCCAGCGACCCCCTTCCTGTCTCATCACCAATCGTATCTAGCTGGGATCCACATCTTGTACCATCCCCCAGGTAGCATCTCTTTCCCCTGGTTTGCCTTCAGTAAGAATCCCGTTAGGCCGCTTTTATCCCCAATGTTTCTTCTTAGTAAATTTCCACCTGTGGCCCCACCCTGAGCCTGGGCTGAGGATTCCCACTTCTCTTTGGTGGACTCAGACTGGAGCCACACTCTCTCTACTGCACATCCCCTTTTCTGTAGCCTGTCTCCTGCCCTAATGTTGGAAACAGTCAGCGATGGCTTCTTTAAGGCTATCTTGAAAGCTTCTTCTGCCCTCTTCCCTCCAGACTCCACACATCAGACTGTTTTTGAGACCCTATAGCACACCATGCTCTTCTGCCTCAAGGACACAGTGCATCCTGTCTAGAGTATCTCCCCCCCCAGCTTTGCCTGTGCCTGTATCCTTTCTGGTCCTCAGACCCCACTTAGAATATTATCTCCCTTGGTGACACCTCCGGCCACCAGCCTCAACTGTTAAGTCGAGGAGCATAGTTCCACTCTGGCTCCCTCCCCCCCCCCCGAACCTTGTCTGGCATTGGGGTGACTCTGAATACTCATCACGCCCACTTCCCTTTCCAGTGCTCGACTGGGGTGCACTTCCCAGCTGTCTAGGCTCGGGTTGTACCCCTGGGGTTTGGAGAGTGAGATAGATGTCACCAAGGCTGGCTATGGTCTGATGGGCCCTGCACACAGCAGTTTTGTCTCAGCTAGTGGTAGAGACCGGGACAGAAGGCCCCAGGGTCCTGAGGTGTCTAGGAAGATGTTATGTAAAGGTGCGTTCACATCAGGTTGGGGAATCAGCAAGAGAGCTGCCCTGTTTTTTATCTCACACCTGGCATTTGTAGTCCATTCATTATAGATGTGAGCACTGCCTAATTAACACACGGTTTTATGTTTCCCCATAGCATCCACGCTAGTGGAGACATTTACAGCCACAGATCATGGAGCCTGCCCCTCGATAACACTATAGCTCAGCATGTTACAGAGACTGGTGGTATATGGTACGTGCACACCACAAGAAGAATCATTTCATCTGTGCCATGTGGCTCAGTGGAAATACTCCCAGAATGGGACCGATGACAGGCTTCCTGGATCTCAAGTCAACAGATCATGGCCTCCTACATCTCTAAATGAGCTTGGACTTGACCCTTTCCTTAGCCGGGCCCAACATTTCCACTGTGATGGTTCATTCTCTGTGGAACTCAAACATTGACTGATGCTTTGGTGTAGACCCTGAGTGCCTGCGGTTCTAGTGAAGGGTGATGCAATCTTCCTGAGACATCATCCCTGCCATGTCCTTCTCACCCTTCATCCCTGCCATGATGGTCCTTCCCATCCATCATCCCTGCCATGATGGTCCTTCCCACCCATCATCCCTGCCACGACGGTCCTTCCCACCCATCATCCCCGCCATGATGGTCCTTCCCACCCATCATCCCTGCCATGATGGTCCTTCCCACCCATCATCCCTGCCATGATGGTCCTTCTCATCCATCATCCCTGCCATGATGGTCCTTCTCACCCATCATCCCTGCCATGATGGTCCTTCCCACCCATCATCCCTGCCATGATGGTCCTTTTCACCACAGGTCTAGAGCAACAGAGACAACTGACCATGAATTGAAATCTCTGAAACCATGACCCTAAACAAATCTTTCTCTTCTTATGCTAATTGTCTCAGGAATTTTTTTCACAGTGGTGAAAAACTAACACAGCTGTTTCTTCCCTCAGGAAGCAGGGCCAGTTACCAGGTCTTGGGAAGATTCTTGGTACAAAACCACCTTCCAGTGAGCCTATAATTCGTGATCTTAGAGAAGCTAAATAAGAAGGTGAACCCAAAGAAAAACATATAGGCATCCTCCTGAATATTATCCTTCATCAGGCGATGAAGGAGACAGAGACAGAGACCCACATTGGAGCACCGGACTGAAATCTCAAGGTCCAAATCAGGAGCAGAAGGAGAGAGAGCACGAGCAAGGAACTCAGGACCGCGAGGGGGGCACTCACACACTGAGACAATGGGGATGTTCTATCGGGAACTCATCAAGGCCAGCTGGCCTGGGTCTGAAAAAGCCTGCGATAAAACCGGTCTTGCTGAACATAGCGGACAATGAGGACTACTGAGAACCCAAGAACAATGACAATGGGTTTTTGATCCTACTGCACGTATTGGCTTTGTGGGAGCCTAGGCAGTTTGCATGCTCACCTTATGAGACCTGGATGGAGGTGGGTGGTCCTTGGACTTCCCACAGGGCAAGGAACCCTGATTGCTCTTTGGGCTGACGAGGGAGGGGGACTTGATTGGGGGAGGGGGAGGGAAATGGGAGGCGGCGGTGGGG